CTGCTTCTGGAGTTCTAAAAGATTTCTCCTGGCCATCGATCTTGATCCTAAGGACAGCCGGGTACATCATGGCGAAGGGGACACCCATCTCCCTGAGGCGTTGTTTGACGTGGTAGAATCCCTGGCGTTTCTTCAGAACAGCGGCGGAGAAGTCCTCGAATATCATAATAGGAATGCCGTTATGAAATAACGACTGCTTCCTCCTAGCCGCTTGCATGATCCGTGCTTTATCCTGGAAGTTGTGGAGCTTTATGATGACCGCGCGGGGCCGCTGGGCACTGGAAGGGAGGCGTGCAAGCACCTGGTGGCAGCGATCAATTTTAACAGCGCCGCCCTTGAAACTCACAGCCACCAACTCCGGTAACCACGTTTTGAAAAAAGACACAGGGTTGGTACCTTCACTGCCTTCGGGTAGCCCAATAACACGTATGTTACACCGTCGGCTCCTGTTCTCCAAGTCATCAATCTTATCCAAAGCGGCCTCCAGCTTAAGCTCCACTTCAGAAATCTTGGCGCCATATCCCGCTGTAACATCTTCCTGCGTTGATATACGCGCCTCTGCCTCCTTCATTTTAAGATCCAATGCAGAGATGTTAGCTGCGCATGTTTCCAGTCTTTTCAGAACTGGATCAATCTTCTTCTCAAAGGAGGCCTCCACAGCCTTCAGCACCTCCGCCGATATCCTCTCCACCAATTTGTCGACGTCCATTTGGCCGAGAAGTGGGGACGACTGGGCCTCCGCCATAACCGCTGCAGCATGATCGCTGAGCGGAGGGTGATTTTCTCCGGATTTGCCCAGTTTCGACCCGAGGTTGAGCTTCTTCTGGGCGCTTGGCATTGTACGAAGTTTAAAAGTCGAAATAAACAGAGACTTTAACCAAATAAGACATATATAAAGGCCTAAACAAATGCCAAGCTGCGGGAGCGGGCGAGAAACACAGCTACTCCGCCATTGACGTCACGTGACCCCCCTGGATTTCGCTGTTGAAATTCATTAAGTGTAGGATCAACACCTTATAAGCTTTACATTACATTCCTGTTTGTAATGGACTGAAACCTGCTTTCAAAGTTTTCAAGTGGTTATTTTATATTGATTTGGGTAATACCAGGCAACACATATATAATACGGGTGCAACGATACACAAAATTCACGGTTCAGTTCGGTTCGATACTTTGGTGTCATGGTTCGATATTTTTTCGTAACAAAAAAATGTTTATGTCTTTTTAATTTGTCATTTATCAAAATTATAAATATATATTTTAACTCAAAAGTACAGTTTTTAAATGTAATGTTGCTGAAACAACAAAATAATTTAAAAATAAAATAAATCTATCTGATCGAGGAATCACTCATCTTTGGAAAAGAGAGTGTATTACAGAGAAATGGCTCTTTCCAAAATACAAGCTATACTATACGCTTCTTCTGGGCTATATTCTCAGCAGCATATTAAACATATCAGGTCCCCATAAGGAGAATCATGTGCTAACGCCTTTCTAAATGACTCGGGTAAAGTTTGTAGCATTAATCTCGTTAAAATGACATTAACACTATAACCGCCCCGTGCGTGGGGCTGGACGGCGTCAACACGTTAACAAGCTAACTGCTCTAACGCACTAGTTCCCACCAATTGAGCATTGCGTGGCACATCCGACATACTGTTTTACTTTTGTTCATGACATGCTTACCTTCAGGGTCATACTTCACATGAAAACCAAAATAGTTCCAAACGTCACATCTGAATGAGGGTGGGGGAGGTTGAATTTCGGGTAGCGTTGAGGGAGTTGCCATGTTGCAACTAGCTTAGCTTCTGTCTTGCTAGCTTGCCCTGCGCTCAGTGGATCTGCACTCGACAGTGCAGCCTAGGCGGAGTAGTTGAACGCAGATCCACTGAGCGCTCAACACAGACAGCATCGTCAGGAGGAAAGTTGATAAAATAAATAAAAAATGTTGTATTGTTCGATACATATGCGTACCGAACCAAAAGCACTGTATCGAACGATTCAATATCGATACGAGTATTGTTGCACACCTAATATATAAATATAAATGTACTTAGTGATAAATATTAAAATATGATAAGACCTCTTAATTAAACCAGATATAACCAGATGTAATACATACAAAGTCAGATATGCTATGTAGTTGTAATAAAAAGAGGAAGTATTTTTTGTGTGACGGCTCTGTTACTGTCTCTCACTGTGTCTCTCTTGGGCACAGTAATACACTGCTGTGTCCTCAGTCTTCAGATTGTTCATCTGTAGATAGACTTTACTGCTGGAGTCATCTCTTGAGATGGTGAATCTACCCAGTACAGATTGGGAATAATAGATAGGAGTGCTAGATGTGTGTACCAAAGCAATCCACTCCAGCCCTTTTCCAGGAGCCTGTTGGATCCAGTTCCACAGTTCGCTACTAAAGCTAAATCCAGATGTTGTACAGGTGAGTCTGTGTGACTCTCCAGGTCCTTTGACAGCTGGTTCAGACTCTGTTATAGTCCAACCTTTAACACAACTTGAAACAATGAGAGCAACCAACAGAAGTGTTAACTTTCTGTAAGCCATGTTGACAGTGACTCAGGTATGTTTTCACGCCTTTAAATATGATCATGTAAAAGATCATTGATAATTTGTTTACATCAAGCTCCTCCTGTTACATTCAAATTCTGTGTTTAAATTCAAATCTCAGGGGTTTAAAAGGTGTCAAAAGGCCCTCATTATAAATCATTTGATGTTTTTTTCTTTCAACTTTTGATTACAGCTAGTTTTTGTCTTTCAATGCTCTGTATATTTAACGAATTGTTACCTAAAGGCAGTAAGTTTTGTCACAGCACTGAAATATATTTGTTCTCAGTAGAGGGAGAACTGATGAATAGTTATTTTCTTTCATTGATTCCACTGCTGTTTTGTCTAGCTTTAACTTTATGTTAGATGTTTTTTTTTTTTTTTAAATGTTGACTTCAAGCTCCGCAGCAGTATCTGTGGACAGTCACCAAGGTAATTAACAAAATGTCGCTCTCTTTCTGTGCCTCAATATCCTGCTGATGAGATTCATAAAAAGGTGTTTTGGGGTTTCTCAACACACCCAATCTGTAATTAAAACATCACTGACTACTGACTGTCAAGGCTTGCTGTGTAGCAGGCAGGAGTCAGGCCCACATGCAGAACTCAGACTCAGGAAACAAGGACTAGAAGCAAAGGAAACAAATTTAGTATCATTGAGCAACAAAAGCATAATCAGAGGACTAAATATAAGGCTTGGACATAAAGTACATAAATCCAAAAGGATACATCAAAATCCCAGAAAAATTCCAAACCCTGGGGCCATTTTTAGTAACTTTTATTTGCAGTTTCTTTTCTTTTTTTAATTTTCAAACATACCACACAGCAATGTTCTTATTTGTCTTCTGATACATCCATATATTAAATGTACTTTAGAAATGTGTCTTAAATCATATGTAGTTAGTATGTTTTTGGGTAAACAAAATGTTTTATGATAAATAATGTTTTGAGGATGTTTTTACTTTAATCCACTACAATTGGGAACTTTATTTTCTCGGCCCTGTTGAAGTTAGTTTCTGATCAGTTTGGCACAGTTTAACTGGAGCTAGTCTTTGTACTTCAGATGCTTCAGGCTCTTAAATATTCAACATCATGACTGTTTCTCCTGCTATAGTGACCACTAGCTATAACAGACAGAGTTTTATCTGAGAGTGGAAAAAAGAGACAACAAAGATCTGTTTTTCTAAATCCAAACTCACTTGCTCGAGAGGGCAGGCTACAGGAAGACATGTTGCACATTTGACCCCATGATTAAGTTTACAGGTGGATGCACTAGCTAGCATTAGTATAGAGTAGCATTCTTTGTTTCAACTGTTGCAACAGTAACATCTGTTAATATGAGTATCCTGAAAATACATTTTATTTTGACTGATAAACAATCCAAGTCCTTCAGTGTTTTGAGTTGGAAAAAGATCAGCTTATTCAGTCTATTAAAAGAAAGAAAGAAAAGAAAGCACCCTGTGACCACAACCTAAAGACAGAGACTTAACACTGACTGCCCTCTAGTGTCCTGATCAGAGCTGCCACAAGAGTTTTGAGTTTTGAGAATTTTAAAACATGGTTATTTCTATTTAATCTAGACAGTGATTTTAACAATCACATTGTAAAGGCTGTGTGAGACTGCTTTTCATTTGTGTGTTTATTTTTTTATAAACACACACAGTTTTTTTAGTCATTCATTTATTTAGTTAATTTTTATTTTTCTATGTGTGTGTAAGGGTAAGTGAAAAGAATTTCCTAGTACATTGATTTTCCTATCTGAGCCGACCTGTTGCAAAGCTGCTCTCAATTAAAGAATAACAAGGGACCTGAAAGGTCATGGTCAAAGGCTGTCCAGGCTGCACAATCCTTAGGTTAAATATTGATATGTCGGTTGGCATAAATTTTCTCTTTCATCATGTTCTCTTTGCGTGTTCGGGCTTCCTTCCACAATCCAAAGACATGCAGTTAGTGGAGTTTCTATTGGTATTTTCCTCTAAAACTTGTTTATTCTTATTTCTCCTGACAGATGTAGGATTTTGTACAGCTGCTAAACAAGCTCCAGTCACTGTGAGTGTCAGTTTGTGACACGTGTTATAACTGATTTACTGACTGTGAATCCTGAAGCTATACAGTTCAGTCAGTCATTCTTTGGCTCATATTGGTCAGCACACAAAACTGAATAAAAGTTCTGATAAATGATGTAGAAACACCAAATCCACACTTTTAAGCTTAAATTTCAAAACTAAAATTTTAACTACTGATTTTATCTACTGTTTTTTTTAATCAATTCTAATCATGCTTTTTATTTGTTTTTGTTTTTAATGTCTCTGTAAAGCAGCTTGAATCACCTTGTTGTTGATTTGTGCTATATAAATAAACTTGCCTTGCCTTACAGATGAACAATCTGAAGTGTTTGCTTTTAGTCTCATTTCAAGTTATTCATCTATATATAGACCAAAGAGTCTCCATGCAACATTTATTTCAAACAGACAGCACACATATCAAGCAATTAGACACTGTGACTCACACAGGCTGCAGAACAACATGATGACAACAAAAAGCATAGATTTTCTCTCACGGTGACTGACTGTACAAGTGCACAGGTTTTCATAAAGAAATCTGTCACAGACAAAGAATGACACAAGTACGAAATATCACATTTAAAGCTTAGTAGTTACAGTCACATTCTATGGAATTACGAGGGCTGGTGGACACTATTATTGAAATATGTTCAGATCGGACATGGCAGATGAACATTTTGGTTGGATCTTTATTGTACCAGTTTGCCTTACTGGTGGTGTAAAGACTCATACTTCGCCATTTTTTGTCATTTTTGCTCTGCTGTGCACGGATGTTGGTGCCTGTAACATAACGTCCAGGATTTCTTCCATTACTTTCTGACCATTTGATTTTATACATCTTATTCACAGTACTGGTGACGAGACACACCAGAGTGATTTCATCTTGAGGATTTAACTGGTCAGTGTGCAGCTGGAGGGGATGTGGACTGTCACCGTTGGCCCTGTCCCATCAGAAAGAGATATTCAATAAACAGGGAGATTACTATATAAGAGAAGACATTGAGTTTTGACATTACGTATATATGTGAACACACTGTGTGTGTGTGTGTGTGTGTGTAATTGTAACATACTTTCTGTCAGATTCGCAGTTGTGGAAACATCTGATGAGGAGAAAAAAAATATTTTAAAAAGCTACTGTATTTGATAATGTGTTAGACCTCAAATTATTGGCGTTTAGTTCTCATCAAACTCCTACATTTTTTGCATTTTTTTTTAATCCTATCAGATTTTGGGGTAACTTTAAAATGTATTACTAACACTTAAATGTCACTAAAGTAGAACTGAAATAAACTACTAAAAATAATATGATTTATCACTTATTATAAGGCTTACCTGGTTTTATGGTTATACCTTGTTTTATTACAGAATCAAAGTGTTTTGCTTTGGGGTTTTTTTTTTCATAAAGAAAAGTATTGGTTACTCACCTAGTGTGTTGTCTCTGTCACTTTTATTCAAAGATGCATTTTGCCCTCCCGTAAACACACAAGTGAATTCAGTATCTTCATTCACATCACTGGAATTTACTGTGAGAAAACTTGCTGCGTTGTACACTTTTTTTCCATCTGCCTTTCTTGATTGAGAAACTGTACTGATCAGATCTATTTTGCTGGTGATGTCTGTTCCATCTTTCAGCCATTTGATGTCATGTTTCTTTGGTGCAAACTCTTTGGCAAAGCAGGAGGTGGTATAGGTGCCGTCCTCAATAAAGGAGGAAAGAACTTTAAGAGTTGGATTCTGCTCAAACACCTCTGAAAAATAAAGACGTACACAAATGTATTCATGCAAAAGCATGGAAAAGTTTGGACACACCTTCTCATTTAATTGTTTTCCTTTATTTTTACTACTTTCTGCATTGTTGATACATACTGAGGATATCAAATATTTGAAACACGTTATATATGGAATTATGTAGAAAAGAAAAAAAAAGATAAATGACTTTAAATACGTTTTATATTTCAGATTCCTGAAAGGAGCCATCCTTTACTTTGTTGCCAGCATTGCTATGTAGTTGTGGAAGTTGTAGAAAAGAAAATTATCCTAACCATGAATTAAAAGAACATGAAAATCATTTGTTTGTAATTATTTATTTATTTAGTAAAAAGTTTTACCTGCATAGCAGACAGTCAAAAGCAGCACCACTGTCCTACAGTCCATCTTGTTTAACTGTGTGTGATGGTCCAGTATCTCTGGATGGTTTCAGCAGTCTCATAAGTAGAGGTGGAAGAAAGAATATTTGCATTTGCACCTCCTCAAACCCATGACAGAAATGTTTAATAATAAATAAAGAGTTTTTACTTAGAATAAATTACCCCGCCCCACAAAAAAAGAAAAAAATCTGTGATAAAAACTGAACCATTAATTTGTGCACATTCTTCTCTGTTGTCACACAAGTGGAACTAGAATGGAATTGGCAGTCATGTCTATTGTGTTGAACCTGGACAATTAAACTGCATTTTAATGTTGGATTACAGCTATGAATTAATGTAATTTACTATGAACATTTCTGAAACTATGTTTTGTCTCTGAGGCAGCAGTGCACAACTCTTTGTACAACTCAGTGCTTAATAACTTAGCCATTTTAATTGAAAAACAGGCAAGAAAGATGTATCATCAAATCAACTCTGACTAAATGAAGCTGACGGTTAAAAAAGTTTCTACTTGTGTCAATACCTAATATAATATAATATAATATATTAAATATTACATTTCTGTAATTAATTTTGCTTATTTTTCATAATTGTAAATTGCCTGTTTCAGACAAGTGAAACTGCCTTATCTGAGTTCCACTTGTCAACAAATAATTAAATAACTCTAAAGATTAAAACAAAATAAAAAAAACAGATATATAAATTGCAAGCCCTCTACCTGATACAGTGCAGATAAAGCCAATTGTTCTTTGTCATGGTGATAAATAGGTAAACAAATCTTTGTGAGAATCAACAAAAGATGTAGAAAAATTAATTATATTCCAAAATGATGTTATTGAAAGATTTTGTTTAAATTGGATTTAAAAAAAGTTTATTTTTTTAACTTTTTGATACAACTAGTTGTTCTTTTTTGTGTTGCTGTACACTGATGTCCAGTATCTAAAGAGAGTGAGTTTGGTCAAACTTTGAAACATGTTTGTTTTCAGTGGTGGAGACACTGATTAAATTTTTGTTTTGTTTTCCACTTCTATTTTGCTTTAGTTTAATTTTGTTTTGCCTTCTTTGATGCTCTCTGCTTTATCAACTTTTAAAAAAAAAAAAACAAAGGCACACAGTTGTCTCCTAAAACTATAAGTTTGAAATCCATCCTCAATCACACACAAAGGTAGAGTCAACATTGATCGGCCTGTTTTCTAGACTGCAGTGGCTGCCCTCTAATGTTCTGATGAGTATAAATTACAAAACTGGTTCTCATAAAATCATTGTGTCAACTTGTTTTTAAATTTCTGTTTATTGTCCTTACCTTAGTGGTTTTCATCACAAGTTGTAACTTCCCCCACTGGTTGAGACTCTGTTTTTGTCACAGAGAGTGGAATTAGAGGTGAAAGTTAGTTCAGTAAACAGTTCAATGTGCAAACAAACAATGGAGACAACGGCGAGGAATAAAACGGAGAGGAGAAACACACACAAAAACAAACACAGGCAGGTGAGGGAAGGCTTGTTGCTGACTTAAATATATTTTCATTAGATTAATTCAATTTAAAGCAATGACTGAGTAGACTGTTCATTTTCTCTCTCTGTTTTTCTCCCCTTTTTAAAGCAGTTTAAATGCTTGTGCAGTTGTCAGGTAAACAGTGCCTTCCCCACAGATGCTGTTCAAACATGATAAGTGGAATGAAATTGAGCTCAGTTTTTAACTAGACAAAGACCTCTGAAGATGTCATGATACTGAAACACTGCATTTATTGTATTTAATCTATTTAAACAGTTGAGAAGTTTGGTGAGTCCTGTAATGATCCTCTCACATATGAACAACTTCCTTTGAGTATCTTTAATAATGAGATGACCTTCATCATGACACTGGAGGAGACTCCAGTGGAGAATTTAACTGTGTGAAATGTAACCTCTCAGACAAGTGCAAGACTTTATTACACTAATATCCTTAATAGATTTAGTATTAGTAATACTGTCATTATACTACAATTATGATGAAAGATAAATGCAGCATAAAGGGCTGCAGGAATTTTCTTAAAGAATTTCAGTCACTGTGAGTCTCGAGTACAATAATAAACAGCAGAATCTTCAGTCCTCAGGCTGTTCATCTGCAGATACAGCTGCTATTTGCTGTTGTCTCTGGAGATGGTAAACCGGCCTTGGACTGACTGAGAATAATAGATGTAAGCACTGTCATATCTGATGTTTGCAACCCACTCTAATCCTTTTCCAGGAGCCTATCTGATCCTCCAGTAGTCACTGAATGTGAATCCAGAGGCTGTACAGGTCAGTGTGTGGGATTCTCCAGGTCTTTTAATCACTGATTGAGACTCAGTCAGAGTCTGACTATCGACACCTGTAAAATTGAAAGAAATGCAAGTAACTTTGTATTTGTATTATTGTAACTTTATGGAGACAAATATCGGCACAATATTAGCAAAAATCTTCACCTGCCCAGCAAACAGTTAAAAGCAGCAGTCCTGTCCTACAGTCCATCATATCGATCTGTGAGTCCACTGGTCTGTCATTCACTCTACAGTCAGATAAGTAGAAGTGAAAGACATCTGAGTTTGCATTAACTCCTCCTCACTGGATGACTTTAGCTAAATTTAGTATGGACATTGTTTTTTTCTTTCATTTCATATGTTAAAGGTCAGACTGTGAATTGAGTCGCATGCTCAGTTCTGTCAGCTACAAGAAAACAGCAAACATAGAGATAAAAAAGGAACATGATAATAAAATAATATGTTTATACTAAAATTAGAAAGTTAAATCATTAGTGTTGTTTTTTTTATACAAAGAAAAAACACTGTACTACAAAGCTGTATTATTAAAAACTGGCACAAAGCTATGTAAAATGATTCTGTTCTACAAAGTGAATTTGAAGCTGAACTAAATAAAAGAATCAGTCAGCAGTAATGGCAAATCTATGTTGCCTATGTGTCATTAAAGTAAAACCAGTAGTCAACAAAAAGATCGCATCCCTTTTAAACTGATATAAGTTTTTGTAAGTGTGTCACAGGGAAAATTACTCAATATGAATAGAATTTTTGTGATAGTTCAATTATCTTTTTGCTATTAAAAAATATTACTACATTAATATTAGGTACTGAATGATTTTTTGCAGTTTTTAAACTGACTCCTGTTACTGTGGTGGTTGAGCACTATAATAAACAGCAAACTGTTCTCTGCTGTCTCTGGAAAAAAAGGTAAACTGACCTTGGACTGACTGAGTATTTGTTGCTACCACTATAATTGTCAACCTAGGAAACCCACTGGGAGTCCATTTGTGTTCTCTCTGTATGTAGAGATAGAAAACATCTGAGGTTTGCAATGAATCCTCCTCAGTTGAGGATAACAGTGAGATAATCTTGTCTATCAACTTTTTTTTACTGTGTGTTATCCACAGTAAACTGAATTGGAGCCAAATTTATTATTCACTGTAATTTTTGACTATCCATTATTCATTGTTTTATGAATAACAATAATATTTTGAGTTAAAGTTCTCTTCCAAAACAAGTCAAAGTCAAAGTTTCAGTGATGCAGCTCAGTGCTCATATATTCATATTGCTAGGTGAACCTGACTGGTGTGAATGGTTGTTTTAAACCGTTTCTGCTACTCCATATATCTATTTGTAATATTAACCCTTGAAGTGCCAAGTGAATTGATATATGATGATTTGCTGTTATTCACTTCAGGATTTAAAGCTAAAACTGCTTTCATTTATAAATGCTTTGTAAGATATAGATAATCCCCATTTATGCATTATCTATATCATG